TAGTGCACATCATGAGTTTAGTGCACATCATGAGTTTAGTGCACATCGTGAGTTCAGTGCACATCATGAGTTCAGTGCTCTAAACAACAAGTTCTGCCCGTCAGGTATTAATGTGTGAACAGCTTAATGTTTGTGTATTGCACGTTGGGTTCAGAGCAGAACCTTTGGACTCCAGCGACCTGCTGATCAGGCCCAGCGACCTGCTGATCAGGCCCAGCGACCACTGGACACAAAACTTCTGCTGAAGGAGAAACTCGTGTCCGAACTCTTGTGCTTTCCCCAAGCGCCAAACGGCACCACGATGATGGTGCTGTTGTCCTCCGTCCCGTACTGAAGAGCCTGAAAGAGACACGCAAATAAAAATCAAACACCAAATGTTTGGCAGAAACCAGTTTTCAGGTCGAGCTCCATGAAGCTCCACTGCTCTAACACAGACTTTGTTTTAGTAATGAATAAAGAACATCTAAATTACCGTAATCTCCGGACTATAAGCCGTTACTTTGTTCACAGGCGCCTTTATGCAGTGACGCAGATAATTTATGGATTTTGACGAGCTAACGAGCTTCAAGCTGCCAAAACATTTAGCCTCGTCACACCCGGGCGCTCCCACTACACGTCTCGTGATCACGCGAGACACGTGATCCCTGGGGGCACGCAGCCGCTCGACATCACTGTGCATCGTGCATTTAAAGTGTCGCTCCGAGCTCGTGGGATCCTCGGATGACTGGGGGCGAGAAACTGTTCACCAAAACTGGCCACGTGCACAGAGCAACTTTTGTTCATGTCTGCAGAGGATCCTGACAGCGGAGCAGAGTAAATCACTTTATTTGAAGGGGTGTGCACAACCCTGACATGACACTGTCATGAACATGTGATTATTATCAGTAAATCATGACACCTTTAATGCAAAGTTGACGTTAAAAATGTCAAGTTGTCGTAACAAAGATTAAACAATGTCAGCTTTGCATCATGATTTACTGAACGACACTTAATGACAAGAGTCATGAACATTCATAAAGACTGGTTCATGTTCATGTCAGTGTTGTGCACGGCCTTCAAACAAAGTGTGACCAACAAGCCTCCATCACCAACAGGTTTCTAAAAGCAGCTGAGTGATGACGAGGACGGCCGAAGCTCAAGGGCGACAACGACCGTCTCTGTTGTGAACGAGTCCCGAGGCTCCAAGAGATTAACCTGAATAAATAAAGGTTGAATGAAAGAAAGAGACGAGGACGTGTGTGATGGACATGTTCTGTTCACTTCTGACACTGAAGAAGACTTTAGTGTTTCAGAGCACAGGAGGAAGATGAAGATCGTGTTCAGCAACTTCCTGGTACGCTGCTGCATTTTGATTTATTTTTTAACCAGCTGTGTTACCGTACTTTACAACACATACTGAAGGATTTGGGGTGTTCAAAATGACCCGAGCACAGAATTTCAGGAGCACTTCACCTTCGTATAAAAGATTTAATTGAGACAAAGTTAAAGTATGCAGATATTACATGTAATCAGAGTGCAATGTGAGGAACAAAATCAGAGTGAACCTTGCCTGGTCAATCAGCCGATGTTTGTTCAACCAAACTCTGTGTCTGAGCGAGATTTATAGGTTTGTCATGTCCCGCCCTTTCGGGTTCAGACAGACTTGTGATTGGATGTCAAAATCTCTTGATAGTCCGAGTGACACCATGTTCAGCCACTCAAGAGCAGATTTTATCTCCAGGGTTACTCCGAAAGCCCCAGACGGCCTCGCTCATCCTTCTACTGATAAGGGTTGATTTACGAGCTTTGTTTTGGAACGCAGGACACTTACTCTGGCTTTCGTCTGTATAAAGCTTTGAAACATGTTTTCTGTGTGTCGGAACTATTATTAATGTGCGAGCATAAATACTCAACCTGTGTTAAGTATAAAGTATATGAATGTTGTGATTTAGCGTTATTTATGTTTAATCAAAGTGTGAGCAGTGTGTCACATTGTTGGGCCCTCACTCTCAGCTGCTCTGCTCAGAGAACAAAGAAGGATCGTTTCCTGCTGCACGAACAAGTGTCTTACCTGTCTCTGTTTCCCTCAGAATTATATCAAATGTGAACTTGTATGATTATCCTTAGCACTTGTGAGATTATATATAACATGAAGTAATTAGTGTATGATTATACATGCACACACCTTGTAGAAAATGCATCATTTCACCTCATCAGAGAAATGTCAAGGCTTGTCAAAAGACATAAAAAGATCTAAAAGATATCAAATCCAACAATACTTAATTAAAATTTTTAAAAAATCTTTCTGTGTAAATATCTCATGTTACAACGTGAACACCCGCAGCTTATTGACAAGTACAAAAATATGTACAAAATTATTGTTTTTTATTTAGTGGGCGTGGCTTATATTCAGGTGCGCTCAAAAGTCTGTAAATTATGGTACTGTTGTATGATTGGGGGAAAGGAGGTAACATTTAAAAAGAAATACTTTTCATTTAAATCTAATTAGAGCAATAAATAATCTAGTAATGTATCGTGTGATGGAGCTTCCTGCAGCAAACGTCAAAATGTAAGAGCAACTTTTTACCTGGTCAGAAATTCTCTGAGCTGCTTCTCTGGGGTCATGGCACTGGTTGATCACGTTGCAGATCTCCTGACTGTTCATAATGAAGTTGATGCCGTCTGTGGTCAGAGCCAGGAACGAGTCGTGGACATGGTGCAGCTGACAAAAGCAAAAGGTAACAAATCCTCAGACACTTTTAAAAGAACATGTTGGACAAAGAAGTTCAGAACATTTTAATGAGCCACTGTTGCTGAGGGGTTGAAACGTGATGTTTGTAGTTTTCAAATGAGTTCTTCTGGACTGGAACTGAACCAGGAAGGAAACCTTAATGTTTTTAGTGCAAGATATTAAAGTGGGTACGAGTTAGTGGGTTTTATTTTATTTATTGTGTGCTTGTCCCTGCTAGTGCAGAGTGACTGATCCTGGTGAATGTCAGTGTGTGACAGGTTGAAGAACTATTCGTATTATTTCATAACATTAAAATGATTTTGAATAAATATTAATTTTCCATATAAGCCTATTAACAATTTAAAATTGTTTACAACCTATTTTTCATGTTGCATTAATGTTTGTACTATTTTATTCAAGGAAACTGCAATCCATACACCAGTCCAGTAATCAACTAGAAAGCCTTTTCTGGGATTAACAGGTAGTACCATATCCACCACAAGGGGGCGCAAAGTGCCACATCCACCACCAGGGGGCGCAAAGTGCCGCATCCACCACCAGGGGGGCACAAAGTGCCACATCCACCACCAGGGGGCGCAAAGTGTTGCATCCACCACCAGGGGG